GTGAAAGAAGCAGAAGCAGCTATCAGCAGAAATGAGGTCAAGCCAAACAAGACCTACAGGCACACTAAGAATTTCCTTCATAACAGGGAAAAATCAGATGTACCAGTGCATAAGTTCAGGACCATTACCAGTTTGTTGAGCTATTTTGAAATGATAATTTAAATTATTTTCATGCTACTCTCTATTGTGGGGTATGGCATACCCTCATGATCCTTTTTAACAGTAAAAACTATTGAGTACAATTAGGCTGAGTAGCCACAAGAGAGAGGATGTAATGATGGTCTGTTATTCCAAAAATGTTCCAAAATTTCTCTGCAGCACTGCGTGAGGACTGCCATGTGTGTTTAGCTGCTGTGCTTACTTCTCCAGTTCCACAGCAGCAGTTGCACCTAGAAACCACAGCTGGTAATTCTTTGGCTTCTCTAAATGCCACAATAGCTCCAGAGAGGAACAGGGTTATGTTTTTGTCGTGTCCCAGGCTAGGTTGTTGTTCTGTGCTTAGAATACTTTGGACCTCTGAACAATCTCCATAAGCTTTAGCCTCACCAGTCTCCCTCCCCCATGGGAGGCTCCATGGGCTGGTGACTTTGGGGTTGCTTCATCCCTCCTGTACTAAGGCCAGACAGAAGACTCAGTAGAGGACAAAGTGACAGCATTTTCACCGGAAACGATGAGGAAAGCTGGTGACAAAGCTGGAAATGTCACTTATTGCAGTACTTATAACCTAAAGAACTGGAGGGGCAAGTCAGAATAGTCAGAAATAGGGAAGAAGAAATTTTAAAAGAGAAAAAAAGTGCAGCTGAATTTCAGCATATTCAGCACAAAGTGCTGCAAGTGCACAGGAGCCAGTGAATTCCTCTGACAGAAAAAAAAAAACAAAAGAGTTTGGGGGAACTTCTGAAAAAATGGCAGGAAATGAGGTTTCATGAACATGGGCCCCACAGCTCAAGAGGGACAGGAAACTGCTTGAAAGAGTCCAGCACAGGGCCACAAAGATGATGAAGGGAGTGGAACATCTCCCTGATGAGGAAAGGCTGAGGGAGCTGGGTCTCTTTAGCTTGGAGAAAAGGAGACTGAGGGGTGACCTCATCAATGTTTACAAATATGTAAGGGGTGAGTGTCAGGGGGACGGAGTTAGGCTTTTCTCAGTGATGACCAGTGACAGGACAAGGGGCAATGGATGCAAACTGGAGCATAGGAGGTTCCATGTGAATATCAGGAAGAACTTATTTCCTGTGAGAGTGACAGAGCCCTGGAACAGGCTGCCCAGAGAGGCTGTGGAGTCTCCCTCACTGGAGACATTCAAACCCCCCTGGACACGTTCCTGTGTGATGTGCTCTGGGTGATCCTGCTCTGGCAGGGGGGGTGGACTGGATGATCTTTTGAGGTCCCTTCCAACTCCTGGTGTTCTGTGATTCTGTGATAATGCTGCAAAAGCAGTCAACAAAAAACAAGAAAGGTTCAGAGGTAAAACAGGCTTAAGAAAAAAAGCGTGTGCTGGAGCAAGTGAAGCAACAACAACAAAATAAAGAACAGAGTTTGGGAGACCTTTCTGTTTGGATCCCCAGAAGCTGAGGGGCCATGGGAAGGTGGTGTCAGAGGTAAAACATGCAGGTGTAGGCATGCTGAAAGGCACATTTTGGCAGAACTAGTCAAGGCAGAGTGCCATAAAAATTTCAGTTGTCTTTCTGATTTTCACTCCAGACTCTGCTTTCAGGTAATCGTTCTGCCCTTCAAATTTATGTATTAATTTGGAACTGTAATCAAGAAACAAGTAATGGCGCCACATACAAGACTCGCTTATGAGATGAAACCATGCACAGACGTCCAGTGAATTCAGCCTGTTTGGAGTTTTTAGCCAGAACTGGGACTTTTCCAGTCTGCATCTCAGATTCAAGGTTATTTCCTCATCAGCTAGAATGGAGAGAAAATGCCTGCAGCCCAGTTTGAGCTACTGGCGGGTTAAAGCAGTATGTAAACCGAAGGCCTGTAGGAGCGAGCACCTCAGGTTTAGTTCTGCCGCGGCTGCGATGCCTCACGACCTCAGGCTGAACCCCCCGGTGACGCGCGCCCGCGCAGCGGAGCAGCAGAGGCGGGACGCGAACCCGCGGCCCCTCCCGCGGCGGCCCCTGCGCCCCGGAGGGTGGGGCCAGCGCCGCAGCGGCCCC